GGTCTAATTTGGGTCCGCCCGTGGCGTCACTGTGCTGGGCCCCCCAGAAGGCCTCGAAAGTGGCGACAGTTTCACAGATAGCAGCCCCCCAGGGATGGCGAGGTCTAATTTGGGTCCGCCCGTGGCGTCACTGTGCTGGGCCCCCCAGCAGGCCTCGAAAGTGGCGACAGTTTCACAGATCGCAGCCCCCCCAGGGATGGCGAGCCCCATTTGAGTCTGCCGTGAGTACCCAGTGTGCTGGGCCCCCCCAGCAGGCCTCGAAAGTGGCGACAGTTTCACAGAACGCAGCCCCCCCAGCCCCCCAGCAGGCCTCGAAAGTGGCGACAGTTTCACAGATCGCAGCCCCCAGGGATGGCGAGGTCCCGTTTGAATCTGCCGTGAGTACCCACTGTGCTGGGCCCCCCAGCAGGCCTCGAAAGTGGCGACAGTTTCACAGATCGCAGCACCCCAGGGATGGCGAGGTCCCATTGGAATCTGCCGTGAGTACCCACTGTGCTGGGCCCCTCAGCAGCACTCGAACGTGGCGACAGTTTCACAGATCGCAACCCCCCAGGGATGGCGAGGTCCCATTCGAATCTGCCGTGAGTACCCACTGCGCTGGGCCCCCCAGCAGGCCTCGAAAGTGGCGACAGTTTCACAAATCGCAGCCCCCCAGGGATGGCGAGGTCCCATTTGAGTCTGCCGTGAGTACCCACTTTGCTGGGCCCCCCAGCAGGCCTCGAAAGTGGCGACAGTTTTACAGAACGCAGCCCCCCAGGGATGGCGAAGTCCCATGTGAATCTGCGGTGAGTACCCACTGTGCTGGGCCCCCCAGCAGGCCTCGAAAGTGGCGACAGTTTCACAGATCGCAGCCCCCTTGCTGGCACCCAGCGACGAGCGAGGCGAAAGGCAAGGGGGAAGAGAGGGACGGGAGGGGGTGGGAAGGAGACGCGCGAGCAGTGCTCTATTCAAAACGAGAACCCAACGCAGGAGGGTTGGGAATTAAAAGTGTCCAAAACATATTCAAAAGATGCAAAAAACAACTATTCAAACAAGTTCCCAGACCATTTTTTACTATTTTTGAACATCCCCCCTGTAGAGGGACATGCCCGACTTTACAGGGATTCGCGCCCAAAGGAAGCGCTGGGAACGGGAGCCGGGGGGGGGGGGGGCGACCAGTTCGGCCGGCCGCGCTGCAAGAGGAAAGCGGGCTGTTGCCCCGAGGACGGGGCACAAGCTCGGCACGCTGGCGCAGGATCGGGGCGGGAGTGTGCTCGGCACATCCGACGAGGAAATGACAATTCGCCACAGCTGCACAGCTCCTAGCTGCGCTCGGGCCCCTGACTTTAAAAAACGTGCGCTCCGGATACGCAGAGCTCTCGGCGGCAGAGCTCCCGAGAACTGTGCTCCTGGCGGCGCACGAGCACCCCTCCTTGTGACACCGCCGCGGCGGACACGCACACCCCTGCGGTACAAGCAGTGGCCGGAGGCGTGCTCATCCTTCTCTCCAGGGTTGCTGGTGCTCACAGAAGCGGCACTCGAAGATGGCTGGCAGCGTGCTGCTGCTGCTGCTGTCCTGCACGCTATTCCGCATCAGGACCCCGCACTGAGAACACTGGCCGATGATGAGGCCTGCCGCGCTGTCGAGGGAATCCCACCTCTTGCACGGCTCGCCGATGAGGCTGGCCAGCAGCTTCCCCGTGGACCTCACCGTGCCGTGGAACTCGCAGCAGGACTGCGGGGGGATCTGCAGACTCAGGCTCGCGATGGTCTCCATGAGCAGGAGGATGGCTGTGCTGTCGGGCGTTGTGGCATAGCGAGCCAGTGGCACCGCAGGCGCATCTGCCCTCGCCGTCTGTGAAGTGCCCGTCGTGCTGGTGGCCAGCCGAGTCTGATTAGACCCCTGTGGCCTGCCTGCGCTGTCCGCTGCCTGCGCGTCACCGCTCGCTTGACCCCTAGCGATCAGGTGGGCGATGTCCAGCGGGAGCTCCGATGCCTAGAGGCATCCCAGATGGGGTCCGAGTAGACTGCGTCGGAGAATCGCGCCGCCTCGCCGATGCATCGGCTATGCGTTGGCGACGTCGGCGGTGCATCGGCGCCGTCGGCGTGGAGAACATCGGGCTCCACATCGAGCCGCATCGCCGCTGCATCGGCGATGCGGCGCAATCCTCCGATCCCATCTGCTCGGACTCCATTGGGGAGGCCTCGCATGCCTCCGACTCCAGCAGCTTGCCGAGGCAGTCCGTGGCCAGCCCGTAGACCTGCCGCATCCCGGGCCGCTCCGATGCCTCCTCGCGGGAGCACCGCTCCACGAGGGGCCGCCACCTGACCCCGAGCTGGCTGTCCGGCGGCCACTCGAGGGGGGCGACGAGCTGCGCGACGGCCGTCTCGATGTTCTCGGCCATCGTGTTATGGAACGGGAGCCTGGCCAGCCTCGATCTGATCCCTCTCCCCAGGATTGACCTTCTCGAGGGTGACGGCAATCTCAGGGGCACGCCCTCGCGAACGGAGGGGATCTCCTCGAGATCCGCCTCGAGATCAGGTGATGCCGAGCCTAGGGGTCGGGAATCTGATCTGGGCTGGCAAGCACCGCCCGGTGACGACGAAGTACGCGAGGCGGCCAAAGGAGAAGACGTCTGCAGCCGTACTGGTGGCCGTGCCCATGGTCCACAAGAGTTCAGGAGCGACCCAGCACATGGTGCCACCCATCGGCTTGGCGTGGCGTGTCAGCACGCGCGCCAGCCCGAAGTCCAGGAGCTTCGCCCTCACCGAGACGCGGGCGCGAGGCACCTCCACGAAGACGTTACGGTCCTTCAGGTCGCCGTGGATAATGGGAGGAGTACGCGAGTGAAGGTATTGCAAGGCACACGCCACGTCCGCCAGCACCTGCGACTTCTCTATGGCGCTGGGTGGCACAGGCCCCGAGTCGCCACCATCGTCCCTCCGCCAGCCCCGCACGAAGCTTCTGACCGACACGCCGTCCACGAACTCGAGTACCAACGCCATGTGGCGATGTTGCTCGTCCAGGGTCGCCCCGTAGAAGAGCACGACATTTGGATGGCGGATGCGCCTGAGGACGCGCAGCTCGTCGCACATCTCCACCAGGTGCGAATTGTCGGTGATCCTCTGGTCGTGTACCTTCGGGACCTTGAGCGCCACGTGGATCCCCTGGTACCTGGCCAGGACGACCCTGCCAAAGGCCCCCTCCCCCAGCAACCGGCCCGGTACCACAAGGACCTCCCCTGGCCTGATGAGCCACTGCTCCCTCGAGCCGATGTCCGCCAGCTCGTCTATGAGCTTTCTGGAGATGTCGGATCTGTGCACGCTGAAGACCCTTCCCGACTCCGTGGTGGACGGCAGCGACTCCTTCTCCGCCTCCGACGGCTCCGAGGGCGCGCCCGCGCCCTGCTGCCGGAACTTGGCCAGCTGATGCTGGGACAGCGCGAACTCGGACTGGAACCGGAGGCTCTTCTCTCTGATCAGCTTCAGGAACATCACGCGCTCCTGGTACTCCAGGCTGCGCTTCCCGCAAGCGGCCGCGCCGATGAGGCACAGCAGGAAAACGGCCGTGAGCGGCGCGTCCTCCATCTCCGGCCCCCCCAGTCCCCAGGTGGGCGCCACGTAGCACAGCAGACTGGCGACCTCGACAATGACAAGAGCGGAGATTCTGACCGGCAGCGCCAAGTGAGTGCCCGTCACGACGAGGTCGATGGCAAGCACCATCCTGGTGTCCGTCAGGGTTCCGAAAGATTCTCCGAGCGCTGCAGGGTCGACACTCAATGCACGGGCCGCGTACCACGGCAAGGCAAATGTGTGAGCCACGAGCCCAAACACGGCAGATGTGGCCATGAAGATTTCTAAGACCACGAAGTTTGCTCTGCCGAACAAACCCGGGACAAAGCTTATGCCTATCAGGGAGAGTGCCCAAACAACGATGCCAAAAACAATGTTAATAGTCAGCATCCAAGTTCTACGCTCTTCGTCAATCAGATGCCCACCCGGGTCCCAAAACTTGCCCAGTATCAGTGTTTTTTTTTTTCTTATTGTTTGTTTTGTTTTTTTTTTTCCTTTTTTTTTTTCTTTTTTTTCTTTTTTTTTTGAAAACTTGCCCAGTATCAGTGCCGAAATGGCCACCAGGAGAGCTAGGACGCACAGCAGGCGGTAGTTGACGACCGTTCTGGGCATGCGGTCCTTCACGAATCCTCTCTCGATGCCTCATATGGAGGGCGGGGAGGAGGTGAAGGGAGGAGGAGGAGGACAAGTAGACGGAGGGTAATGGAAAGGGGGGCAACCTGAATCACTAAAAGTCAGCGTGATCGCGTTCATGGTGATGGACGTGTCATTTCCGCCTTGAGACTCGAACGCCGCTCCACTTGTTCGGAAAGCACACATTTGAAGCATGCAGACCCCGGAGATTGGCGACCTTGAACCAAAGATGCTCCTGCGAGAAATCGGGGCAGACAGCGACCACAACGGCTACGACGGGCGACCGAAGAGGAGTGGGACAACGACGACCGCGACGATCACGACGACGGCGAGGGACCACGGTCACAACGACGACGACGACGGAGGAGGACGACGACGCATGCCTACGACCACTGGCGCTCTCGACACTTTCCCTGGGACTGGCGACAGCGGAACTACGCCGCTGACGACGACGCAGGGCAATTCGGACTCCGCCGATCCTTCGGCGTGTGTGAGACGCTGTCGTCGTCTTCGTCGTCGTCGTAGTCGTCGTCGTCGTCGTCGTCGTCGTCGTCGTCGTCGTCGTCGTCGTCCTCGTCGTCGTCGTCGTCGTCGTCGTCGTCGTCGTCGTCGCCAGTCCCACGGAAACTCAGGAACGAACAGAAGAAAGAAACGTCGTAGACAAGTCGGTTCTCTCGCCAATTGCTCTCCCTAACGGGGGGGGGGGGGTACGGGGCGGTAGGGGGGGGGACATGTGTACGGGGATGATCCCCAGTCAGACTGCCGCCCTTCCCCCCTCCCCGGGGTCCCGGTGGCCCCCCCTCCCCTCCCTGGCCTCCCCTGTGGACAGGGAGGACAGGGGGGGTCCCCCCTGCGGGGGGGAGGAGGGGGTCCTGGAAGGGGTTCCCGGAAGAGGTCCCGCCTGCGGTCGGGGAGGGTGGTCCCGGGCCAGGATACTGGCCCCTGGGGGTCCAGGCGGCTCCCGGGGGGGAGGCACCAGGGGGTCCCGAGGGCGGTCCCGCCTTCAGAATCGGCGGTACCGGCCGTAAGGCATTCGCAATACATATATATATATATATATATATATATATATATATGTATGTGTATAGATGTGTCTACATGTACGCCTACGCTTGTTAACATACATACATACATACATGCATGCATACATACATACATACATGCATGCATACATACATACACGCATACATACATGCATCCATGTATACATTCATTCATTCATTCATTCATTCATACATACATACATACATAATTACATACAAACATACACACATACATACACGCATACACATATACATACATACATACATACATACATACATACATACATACATACATAAATACATGCATACATACATACATACGTACATACAGACAGACATACATACATACATACATACACATATACATACACACATACATACATACATACATACATACATACATACATACATACATACATGATACATACATACATACATACATACAGACACACACATACATACATACATACATACATACATACATACATACATACATACATACATACATACATACACACATACATGCATACATACATACATACATACACACATACACACATACATACATACACACATACACACATACACACATACACACATATACACATACATATATACATACATACATACATACATACATACATACATACATGCATGCATGCATGCATACATACATACATAAATACATACATACACACAAACATACAAACATACAAGCATACAAGCATAACAACATACAAACATACATACATACATGCATACATACATCCATCCATCCATCCATCCATGCATGCATGCATGCATGCATGCATGCATGCATACATGCATACATACATACGTACATATATACATACATACACACACGTACAGTTGCTTCTGGAGGGTCTCTTGGGAACCCCAGGGAGGCCCTCTTCGGGCGTCTCTGGGACCGGCTGGGGCACGAGGGGGGCACCCGGAGCTCGAAGACGGCCCAAGACTGCGCCAGGACGGCCGTCCACTCCTCGCCTGGAAGCGTCGGGATCGCCATGAGTGCCTCAGGGCCTCCGGGGCGGGGGCTCTCTCAGGGGCCTCTTGGGGGCCCCTCGGGGCTTCCTGTGGGGCCTACTCGGGGCCTCTTGGGGGCTGCCGGGAATCGAAAAATCCGTTCGGGTAACCCCTCTGGGCCCCCTCTGGGGGCCGCCCTGGGGCCTTCGTGGGCTGTCTTCGGGGCCTCTTGGGCCTTCTCGGGGCTCTCTTGAGCCGTCTTGGAGCCCTGTAGGGAGCCTCTTGGGCCGTCGTCAGGCCATCTTAGAGGCCTCACGGGGCGTCTTGGATGTCCTGGAATCTCTAGAGACGAATCTTCCAAACATACACGAGTTCCAAAGACCATGGGGCCATGCTTGCCCCCCTCCCCATTCATACATCTATATATATATGTGTATATAGATACAAATTAAAGATGTGTGCATGTGTGTATGTGTGTTTGTATACGTATGGTGTGTGCATGTGTGGTGTGTTGCGTCTTATGTGCTGTGTGCTGTGTGTTATGTGTGAGTGTGCCTGCGTCTGTGTACGTGTGCGCGTGTTTGTGTGTGTGCATCTTTGTGTGTGTGTGGGTGTGTGGGTGTCTGCGTGTGTATGTACATGTGTGTGTGTGTGCGTGTGTGCGTGTGTGCGTGTGTGCGTGGGTGCGTGGGTGCGTGTGTGCGTTTGTGTGTGTGTGCGTGTGCGTGTTTGCGTGTGTGCGTGTCTGCGTGTGTGTGTATGTGTTGTGTTGCGTGTGTGCGCGTGTGTGTGTGTGCGTCTGTGCGTGTTCGCGTGTATGCATGTGTGCGTGTGTGCGTGTGTGTGTGTATGTGTGTGTGCGCGTGTTGGTGTGTGTTGGTGTGTGCGTGTGTGCGTGTGTGCGTGTTGTGTGTGCGTGGGTGCGTGTGTGCGTGTGTGCGTGTCAGCGTGTGTGTGTGTGTTGTGTGTTGTGTGTTGCGTGTTGTGTGTGTCGTGTGCGTTGTGTATTGTGTGTGGTGTGTGTGTTGTGTGTTGTGTGTGTGCCGTGTGTGTTGTGTGCGTTGGTTGTGCTGTGTGTGTTGTGTGTGTTGTGTGTGTGAATGTGGTGTGTGTGTGTTGTGTGTGATGTGTGTTGTGCGTTGTCTGTGTGTGTTGTGCGTTGTGTGTGTTGTGTGTATGTTGCGTGTGTCTTGTGTGTTGTGTGTGCTGTGTGTGTCTGTGTGTATGACTGTGTGTGCGTGTGTGCGTGTGTGGAGGCTGCTGGCTCTCCTCGTCCTGTTGCTACTCTGCTGCTCCTCCTCCTCCTTCTCCTCCTCCTTCTCCTCCCTTCCTCTTCATCCTCCTCCTCAATTTCCCCCTCTTCCTCCTCCGCTTCCGTCTCCGATTCCTCCTCCTCCTCCTCCTCCTCCTCCCATCTTTCTCCTCATCCTTCTCCTCCTTAGTTTCCTGCTCTTCCTGCTGCTGCTCCTCCTCGAACCTCCTCCCCCTCTTCCTTTCTCCTCCTTTCTCCTCCTCATCCTGCCCCTATGCCGCCACCTGGCTGACTCTGGCCCTGTGATTTACGCTGAAGTCGCTAGCGCGCGCGGAGTTGGAACATACATATCCTCACAATATGTCTCGGCAAGAACTCCAGTGGTCGAGCTGTAGATGTCGGTATTCTTGTTGTGTCGGGCGGCTCCAGCCACCCTGCCCCTCCTTCTTCTACTCTTGTCGAATGCTCCTCCTCCTTATCCTCCTTTCTCCTCTCCTATCCCCCCCTCCTCCTCCTCCTCCTCCTCCTCCTCCTCCTCCTCCTCCTCCTCCTCCTCCTCCCCCCGTCCCTACTCTCTCCCTTCCTCCTCCTCCTCCTCCTCCTCCTCCTCCTCCTCCTCCCCAGCCTCCTCCTTACCTCCCCCCCCCCCCTTCCGCCTCCTCCTCTCTCTCTCTCGCTCGCTGCCCGAGCCATCCGTCACCCGCTCCGCCCACTCCCGACGGGTCCACAGCGGTGGATAGGAAAACTGCCGTCCTGGTGCGCTAGCACCGCCTGCTCCGGGTACGCGGCCAGCAGCGCCTCGTGGATACGGCTGCTACTGTGCCAGAACCTGAGGAGGAGGAGGAGGAGGAGGAGGAGGAGAGGAAGGAGGAGGAGGCGGAGGAGGAGGAGGAGAGGAAGGAGGAGGAGGAGGAGGAGGAGGAGGAGGAGGACTGCGATCGGCGCACCGCAGGATCCCGAGGGCGGAGGAGGAGCCGATTCGAGTCGAGGAGTTGCAGCAGAAGGAACGGTGAATGCGGCCCAGGGACACACACGCACAAATAAATACACACAGATCCCAGGATTCTCCAAAGATGGCAATGTTTTCTGGACGTTCGTCTTCCCCCCACCTTTGTTGGGAATCGACGATTCGTTGTGTCTGCCTGTGTGTCTTCCCCCTCCTCAAGCGAAGAGGAGCGACGGGGGGGAACATCGACCCGCACTCGGAGATGCATGCACTGCCGATAGATCGGCAGATAGTCCCCCGATAGCGAACCCGTACCTTCTTGGAAGTGGGCGATTGGAAGTCGATGCGTCCCCCCGTGATGACTACCTACCAGACCACCCCAACCCAACCAGAAGACCCGAATTTCGGGTGGGGGGGGGTACGGGTTCCATGTGTGTTTTCTCGATGTTCCCCGACCCCCCCCCACTGGAAATGGAGGTCCATTTGAGGCCTTCGGGTTGGGTTGGGGTGGTTTGGTGGGTGGTGACGTGAGCCGTGGCCCTCAACACGTTGCTCCTGACAGGGCCCCAGCGCGGCCGAGGTTGCCAGAGCTGCCGCAACGCAGCAAGCAGCTTCCAGGTCCGGGGCCAAGGGGTGCGGCGCAGCCGCTGGGTATAAGCCGTGGGGTTAGGTCGGGCATGTCCTCCTACAGGCGGGCTGTGGAAGGGAAACGAAAACGAGTCTAAACATATTCAAACTTAGCAAAAAACATATCATAGAAACATCGTCCCCTGACGATGGTTGGACCAGTTTTGGATTCTGTAGAGGGACATGCCCGACGTGACCCCGAGGAGGAGGCGGGCCAGACCGAGCTGCCTCGAGAGGAAGGGTCCCCAGCGTCAATGCGCTTTCGGGAGCGGCCAAGAGGGGGGTGCCCAAGAAGGGGGGGTGCAAATCATGACCGGCGGCATGTGCGCGGCCCAGCGGGGGGGCCAGGGACGTAATGAAACAAGAAGAGGCGCCATGAAATCTG